AAATTTCGCCAGCCGAAAAAAATGCACCTAATGTTTGTTCCAAGTGCGATATTTCAAAGTTGATCCGCAAGGTGGCAGCACTGGCCTGGGAAGTTGTTTCATAGTCAAGCAAAAGAAACTGAAGAGAAAATTAGAAATATATAAATATACAAAGAAATGTAAAAAGGCTATATATATATATATATATATATATATATATATGCACACACACAAAGAAAAGTAAAAAAAAAACAAATATTTTATTTCCTTATTTATGTACATTTAATTTTTCCCCCCACATTTATTTAGTTTTTCTTTTATTTATTTATACATTTATTTATTTCCACATGTATTTACTTAGGCATTTATTTCTATATTTATGTAAACCGTGAGAGATCCTGAAACAGGTGAAAAGCGTTTGGTTAATGTAGGACTGTCACGATTATGAAATTTGGCTGACGATTAATTGTCTAAAAATTGTCACGTTGTTGCGATTAATTGTCTGTTTTAGGGCTTTGGCGATTCAGGGCTCGCAAAATCCATGCCCGGCGTCCCGGGGCTATTGTGTTTTCCAGTCGGGCTACCAAAATGTATCACTGCCCTGCTGTGCGACTATTGCGCGATTATAGCACAATAATCGCGGTTGTTTCAGACAAGAATCAAATAATCGCGTTTCAGATTAGATCAAATAATCGCGATTAGACGGTTATTTAATTATCGCGACAGGCCTAGGTTAACGGTGAGTATTTACCTATTATGCGTACCATAGTGTCTACCTAATAAATAAATAAATAAATGTGGAAATAACTAAATGTATAAATAAATAAAAGAAAAAATAAATAAATGTGGAAAAAAATAAAAAAATATATAAGGAGAAGTACAAGTATAAATAATTATTTATTTATTTTACTTTTCTTTGTATATTTATTTATTTATTTCACTTTTTTGTCAACTTCTGGAGAGAAATAGTGCAGACACTTGACAAGGATGAAACTTTCTAGTGCGCATGTGTCGAGCGCCTCTGTTTGCGCACGCTGTCAACTGGGGTTGACTATTGGCTGAGTTTGGCTGTACACATGTTAAGCCATGATTTCACTTTTTAACTTTAGTTAGTGTGTAATGTTGCTGTTAGAGCATAAACAACGTCGGCAAAGTTACGACGCTCAAAGTTCAATGCAAAGGGAGATATTTTCTTTTAAAGAAATCGCTGTTTAAGGACTACAAAAGGCTGGTAGGGACTACAACGAGCTTCTTCCCGTTTGTGACATCACTAACCCCGATGTTTACATACCCCGCCCCCGGGAACACGCAGCTACCCGTAATGGGAAGGGGGCGTGACGTTTCCGGACAACGTGCACTCTGCGGTTAGCGAATCACAACACTCTGGGTCAGCTAACCAATCTGAGCCCATTGCGTATTTCTGAGGGAGTGGCTTCATAGAATCAGGAAGTCAACAGACCGTTTTGACGAGAACAGAAACAGCGGTGTAGAATAAAGTTAAAATGTGAAAACAATGCTGTTTTTTAAAAACGAAGCATGAACACGTTACACTGCACCCCATAAACACAATGAAACTTTCGAAAAAAGCTGATCAACCATTCCTTTAATCCTCGCGACCCACCGCTCTGCATATTTGGCATGTCTCTCTTGTTTAACACCTGATTCAAGTAAACGGCTTGTTAGAAGAGAGCTCCATGCATGAACTGTGTTCCGATTGACATGGTCCCTACACAGTGTTCACTGCTCTCTACTCCCTGCACACAGGAAATCGGCTGAAGTTTACTTAACTTAGGAACACAGACTTGCGCTACACCATTGCCTGCAGCATCTTCACACACAGACAACTTACTACAAAAGTGTGAAGGGTTAACCGCAGTCATGAGATTTGCATAATAGCCATGTCTCTCGCACTTTAATGCCCTTTGAATGGAACATACACGCTCCTTTGGAACTGGAATCATGGCGGAATATCCTGTGATGTCCACTTCGCAGGGCACTTATGGTCGAATGGAACAGACCTCTGAAGTGATAAGAGAAATCTACAAAATGTGCAGAGCGGGGGGTCGCGAGGACCAGGATTAAGAACCACTGTGCTAAGCATTTGCGTCAAAAGCAAAGTCTACTTTGGGCTCAAGACAGGGGTGTCCAAACCTGTTTCTGGAGTGCCGGTGTCCTGCAGAGTTTAGCTCTAGCCCTATTTAAACACAGCTGAACCAGCTAATTAAGGTCTTTAGACTTACTAGGAACTTCAAGAAAAGTGTGGTGGAGCCGGTTGAAGCTGAACTCTGCAGGATGTTGGCCCATTCAGGAGCACCCCTGGCTTAAGATGTCAACAGATGTTAAGATGTTAAACAGACTACTTTTCTGCTTTAAATGAAACACAATGTCAACCCTGACTAGGATCTATTGGACATTTTTGAAATGGTGTAAGTGTATTCTAGTTATACGTGCATCTTTTTCTCACTCCATCAGGGCCGTGAATCAGAAGTGTGCAGGTTAGGCGCGGTCGTCTCATTGGGCACCGGTAAGCCTCCTCAAGTGGCGGTGAACTCGGTAGATGTTTTCAGGCCTTCAAATCCACTGGAGCTGGCCAAGACCTTCGTTGGAGTCAAAGAGCTGGGCAAGATGCTTGTGGACTGTGTGAGTTTACGTGTACAAACCTCACAAAAACCTCCAGTTGCCTGTTTAAAAGTACCATTGTTTTAGGTGCAAGTTGTTGGCACTTTTGTGTGTTGGTTGGAGTGAGTCATGAGTCATGTTTATTTTTATGTTTGTCAGTGTACAGACTCAGATGGTTGTGCAGTGGACCGAGCCCGAGCGTGGTGTGAGATGGCCGATATAAACTATCACAGGTCAGTTGTGCGCGACTGACCCTCATTCACAGCCTCGTTTGAACAATTATGCTGCGGTTTCTGTAAATCTCTGCACTCTTTCTGTTCTGCGAGGAAATTGACATTCTCTTCCTTGTGTCTGTCATTTCATGTCTTCCTATTCTCTTCTTTTATACATCGTTGTGTCCTTTTATTTATTTTTCTGACTTATGACCTCCAATGTCCCACCACTTCTTTCATTTCATTTTGTTTCCTTCATTTTTTTTTTTTACATCCATTACATTCCTTCCTTCCTTCCTTCATTTCTTCTCTTTCTATAATTTTCTTTCTTCCTCCCCGTCATTCATTTCCTTCCTTCGTTCCCTTTTTTCTTCCTTTCGTTTCTTTTTTCCTTCATTCCTACCTACCATTCTTTTCTGTCCTTCCTTCCTTCTCTCCCTCTTTCCATCCTCCCTTCCTTTATTTTATTTTCTTCTTTCCACCATTCCTTCATTCCTTCCTTCATCCGTCTTTCACTTCCAACCTTCCTTCCTTCATTTTCCTTTCTTCCCTCCTTCCTTCCTACCTTTCATTTTTTCCCTTTCTGTCTTTCTTCCCTTCTTCCTACCTAATTTCACCTCTTTCTATCATTTACTTCTTTCTAATGCATTCCATTCCATCCTGCTTTTTATTACCTTCCTTCCCTTTATCATTTCTTTCTTACTTTCATTTATTCCTTCATATCACCTCATTTCTTCCCTCTTTCTATAATTTCTTTCATTTTTTATTTCATTTATCTTCATTCCTTGCTTCCTACCTTCTTTCCTTCCTTCTCATTTAATTTTCCCTTGTTCTGTAATTTTATTTAATTCCTTCTTTCCTTTTCCCAACCTTCCTTCCTCCTTTTGATTTCTTATTTTTCTTAATTTCTCCCTTTTTATTGTTGAATTAAAATTGTAATTCCTTCATTCCTTTCACTTATTAATTTCTTCCCTTCTTCTATCATTTATTTTCCTTCCTTTTGTTTCCTTCATTCCTACATTTGATTTCAACTAATTTCATGTTTTTTGTTTCTTTCCTTCCTGTTTTCCTTCTTTCTGTCCTTTTCATTTCTTTCCTCCTTTCATTTTGTTTCCTTTCAATTCTACCTTTCATTCAATTTCATTACCAAAAATTTTTTTCGCTTTCACTTCCTACCTTCCTTCTCACATTTCATGTCATTGCTGCTTCAGGATGAGTCCTCAGCTGTCTCAGGAGGTGATGCTGGATGAGGTCAGTGACGCTGTGTTAGTTGACATGCTGTGGGAGACTCAGATGTACCTGTACGAGCACAGAGATGTCATGCAGACCCTCTGCCAGCAGCTACTTCAGCTCTGACAACAGCTTCCAGACTGAAGGCGATGAAGAGGGTTTTGGTGGCTTCATATGCATAAATGATTTATCCTATACAAATAATGAATCTGAATACAGTAGTGTGTGTACGTTGTTGTGACATGTTCAATTAATTTAAAAGCAGAATATATATATTAGAGCCCGACCGATATATCGTTTAGCCGATATTATCGGCCGATATGAGCCTGTTGCCGATATATTGGTATCGGCGAATATGCCGCCGATATGAACATTTTTTTTTTACAGAACATATAACACAGATTAAATGCTTCTGAATGGTGTAATTACTTAGTTTGTCCAGCAGAGCTCAAACTTCACCCGAGTCCTCTGCTTCAAATTATCCGCCCGCCACCCACCCGCACCTATATTTCATCGACACATTACAATTATTCTAATTCTTTGTTTTGCATGATGATATGATGAATGGATGGTTCATTTTAACAGCAGATTCAGTGACGTTAGAGACTAGAGCTGATCTGCGCTTCACGGCACGCGTCTGCGGCACATTAAAGCCTGTGTTACGGCCACCGGAGCTGATCGCGGCCACTCAATGCTGGTGTTTACCGGCTGCGCCGCGGCCCAGAACCAAAGTTCAAATGATTTTCAACGGTCGCTTTGACGCGTTCTGTTGCAGCGCAGACACGGTGTCAGCATAGTTTGTCAGTACAGTCTGTAACGTAGCAGAAGCAGATTGAAAAGTTAGTAACTTTCTGCAGTCCAATAGACGGCAGTGCGGTGGTGGCTTGAGTCTGTTGAATGGTGATTTAACGCTACGTTGTCACCTACTTGGAGAGACTCAATGCTAAGTAAATAAACATCAATACCCTCGTCTTTTACTCTCACAAAGAGCTTATCATATTCGTTTGCTACATTAGTAGGGCCCTATGATTTCCGCGATGCAGAAAACATGGACGGAATCGCGGAATCCAGTCATAAAAATGGAATTTACTGTATAACGCGGATAAATAAATTATTTATATTTATTATATATTTATTTATTTGATGAATAAATAAAAAACAGGTCAGTACATATATATA